CCACTAATGAGATGTGCGCCGCCGGCCGAAAAGTTAATTTCGTTCCAGAGAGCTTAGCCGTTCGGGGTGTAGGCAGAAAATTACGTGAGGAGGAATTAATTAATTAATTAGCGTTTTTGGCTTTCTAAGACCGTTTGGGAGAAGTGGAATAAATAATCCTTATTTACTTTAAGATAAGAAAAATAAAGGAGAGCTCGTCGGGTGAAAAGCGCCGGGATTTGTAATAGAAAATCTTTTGCCCGGATAAAAAAGCGAGCCGGCTTGATAATATATACGGAAGGTCTTGGTGTTGGTCACCTCCCAGGCGCGATGTCCTCAGGGCCGTACGAAAGTTTCCCTGTTTCGCAGCTTTCTGCATTTCTAAATTTTGCTTTGAAGTTTTCCTCTTACATCTTTATAAGCTTTTTTTCGTATATTTTACTCCATTATTTCAAACTTTCGAAAGTTATTTGACAACTCATAAGTATATTGTGTAAAAGTGTTTTATAACTTTAAAAACTTGTTATCCGAGCTCGTCTGAGCTGTCAGCTTAATCAGTGCGGGGCAGTTTTTTTTCCGTCGGATTAGCGTCGTTAAATCAATTATCGGGCGGAAAATTTCGAAAATTCTTTTTTGATGCATTGCCCCGACAAATCCCCGAAGTGCCTCCAAATTCCGCATTGTGCGATTTTATAGGGGAGTAATCGATTGTATCGCAATTTATATGGAAGTAAACTAAGCCAAAAGGCAACGGGGATCGAAACTCCGGCACACAAATCACGGCGACCGCATACATAGATCACATTTCGGCGTAAAAATTTCGATTTACAGAATAACTTTTCAAGTTGCAAAGAGATATATGTGTACACTTTTGCCGATTCTTCCCCGCAATAAATTTCCGCGGCACGTAAACGACTTACGTACCTTCATAAATATACAATTCCGAAATAAGTCAAAGAATTCTGTCGTAACCCTTTCGAAAAGGAGAGGGGTGTGGGGGGAGCTCGTTCATAATAGAGCCACTTGCCTCATCTTTGATTTACGCGTATACGTAAAACTACTCTTCGGCAATCGGGTAAACTTTAAAATATACACGCGCTACATCTTTTGATATGGAAATTGAAGCAATCTGAAACTTTCAGAATGAAAAAATCGGTGGGCGTACGGCATAATATTTTTCGAGAGCTCTTTTTCATAAAAGTACACTTCTGTTGCCTGATTCAACTCCCTTAGGAATCGCGCAACACCATCCCTGGAGGTGAATCAATTTAAACCCGGATATATGGCTTGGTCAATTCGCACAACGACGAAATCGAAATTCGGAATTTATTCATAACGGAACAAAAATGCAATTACGTTATAAAATGGAGATTCCTTTCACAATACAAACGCAATTTAGATGTGATACCATTCAGAAAGTCTAAAGGGGGAATTTGTGTATATAACCTCCTGCTATCGATTGCATAATATTATACAGAGTGAGCAACAAAGATTGAAGCGTGCCGCTTCAGCTAAATTGGCAATGTGCCGCTCATAGCATATGCTGATTTGATACAAAATACGAA